TGCAATTGTGTGGTAGTTTGAACATTCTTTGGCATTGCCTTTCTTTGGGATTGGAATGAAAACTGACCTTTTCCAGTCCCGTGGCCACTGCTGAGTTTCCCAAATTTGCTGGCATATTGAGTGCAGCACTTTCACAGCACCATCTTTCAGGATTTGAAATAGCTCAACTAGATTCCGTCACCTCTAACTAGTTTTTTTTTTGAAGTGATGCTTCCTAAGGCCCACTTGACTTCACATTCCAGGATGTCTGGCTCTAATCCAGTGATCACACCATCATGGTTATCTGGGTCATGAAGATCTTTCTGTATCGTTCTTCTGTGTATTCTTCTAGCTCTTCTTAATATCTTCTGCTTCTGTTAGGTCCATACCACTTCTGTCCTTTATTGTGCCCATCTTTGCATGAAATGTTCCCTTGGCATAATTTTCTTGAAGAGATCTCTGGTCTTTCCCATTCTGTTGTTTTCTGACTCTCCTAGCCCTGGCTGATTCACCTGCTCACTATGATGAAACCATACTGACCTTCAGTTTCTTCTTGCTTCAGGGCCTGTGCACTTTCTGGTCCCCACCCTGATCTTTCCCTAAGGACAGCACCTTTGGTCTTTAGATTTCAGTTCAGAACTTTACCCCTCTCAAAGAAGCCTTTTTTGACATCATTATGTAAAGAACCACTCCTGACTACTCACACAATTCTTTATGCTACCCTCTAGCTTCCTTCACAGCATATTTATAACTACTAGAAATCATTTTATTTATCTGTTCATTGTCTATCACCAACTCCATCAACAGGAATCTGAGCAATCTCCAGGAGATAGTGAAAGACAGGGAAGCTCCAGTCCAAGCGGTCGAAAAGAGTTGGACATGATTTAGTTACTGAACAACAGTCTATTCCCCTCTACTGGAAATCTAAGCCCGTTGAAAGCAGGTAACCCTGAACCTAAAACAGTGCCTGACATATAGTAAGCATGCAAATTTTTTTGAATAAACTCTTGCAGTATATCTATTTTGCTCTTCTAAAAAACCGCATTTATAGTATATAAAAACCACCTGTTTGACATCATTCCACTTTCTTCAAAAAGTGGCAAAGGGTGAAAGGTATGATTAATGAAAGACTGTTTAAATCTATTGACTATAAGACAGGAACTTTTAGTAGCATACCAGAATAAACTGTTATATCTGGTTTCTCACCAATTTTAGCTCCTTTTACAATGTGGGCCAAGATAGTTCTGTTTGAAAGGAAAGAGAATCTGTTTCTTATTACATTCCCCCAGATAGGCGGTCACTTTTTCTAACTTAAAATTCATTACACTCTTTTTCAGGATCCTGGGCTATTACATAACTTCTTAAATGTCAACTTATTGAAACCTAGACCTTAATGTTACATTTTTCTCTCTTTAGTACTATTAGAAAATATCTTAGATAGAAACAGAGCTACTATCAGGTGCCATGACACACAGATTCTCAGACTGTAACACAGGGTTCCAGCCCATCCTTCAAAGGAAACACTAGAGGTGCTGGGGAGGAGAGCTGGGGGTCAAGGAGACCAGAAAGTACACTGTGGAAGTGTGGCATTACTCCAATGTACAGGGTGTGGCCGAACTTCACAAGAGATAATAACTAGCAAGTCAAATCATTCCTTCCCTCTCCTCCAACAGGAATGAAATCTCCAAGTCAGAACAAATAAGACTTGTAAAATGCTTTATACCAGAGGAGACAGGATTACCCAACCTTGGATTGGGTAAGGAGATGAGAACGAAAACTGAGTGGGAATACAAGTCAGGCCTTCATTGAAATACAATTTAATATTGTTTTCTTAATTTTTGTCTAGGATTGAGGAACATTTCCCATACTTTATACAAATCCACAGTGGAAGCCTTTGTTCATTATATTACTCAATGTCCTTTATGTAAGGAAGCAGGCAATATATGCCTAAGAATTTAGTACAAGAGACAATTCTCACTTTTACATCAAACTTGGGGGTTTTCCTTTTTTACCAAACAATGCAAATTCTGTGTTGTCATGTACATTGTGAACTGGTAGGGCCTTTAGAAATCTGCTAGCCCAGAATTTCCTAAATTGGGATTGAGGTGCTATGAAGAAAAAAACAGTTCTTTAAGCAAACAAGTTTCTTTCTTTGCATAACAATTTTACTGAGATAAAAGTCACGTTAAATTAATCAAACAAGGATACCACTAGACTGAGGTGGCGTCAATTCCTTAGTAGCCTACCTAAGTAAACCAAAACTTAAGCCTGTGATGCCCCAAGGTCAGGAGATCAGAATCCTAAGGACAATCAATCACGGACAGTCACCTGGGCTTTCCCAAATAAGACACCTGCTCAAACCACAGCCAATCAAATATTTCCTTGCTTCATCTCCACCTTCTCTATAAAAGTCCTTCCTGAGCTCCTGCTACTTGCTATTTGGCACTGTCCAAATTCAAATAGATTTTTGCTCAAATAAACTTGCAATTTTAATATGACCCCGTCTATCTTTTAACAGTAACACATTATAAAATTCATCCTTTTAAAGTGTACCATTCAGTTGTCTTTAGTATATTCACAGAATTGTGCTCACTATTTTTCAAACATTTTCATCACCCTGAAAGGAAACCTCATGGTCGTTAGCAGTCATTTCCCCATTTCTCCATTCTCCCAGCAACAAGTTTAACCACAGGAATCTTTGCAAATTATTGTGAACCTAACCTGTTTGTGAATTTATAAGAGAGGGTACAGTGTACAGTGTTTCCCAAGCTTATTTAATAGCTAATATGCATGTATTATCTCAATTATCACAATAAAAATCTATGAGAATCTTTATATACAATAAATGTGGATATTAAAGCACAAAGAATAAAGCTAACTAAATTTGTTCAAATACTCTTAACCATATTCTACTCTACTATTTCCCACAGAACTGACCAGCTGTGGGATAACAGGCAACTAGTTTTCTAATGAATCAAATCTTTGAAAGTGCTTTAATTCAATTTCTTTAACTTGAAGAGAAATATAGGGTCCAGGAAAGTAAGCTGATTTAGCCCCAAATATATAGCATTCTTTCTTTCTCCTTTGATTTGTTTAATTGACAGCTTTGTTAGAACTCAATTATAATTAACTCTATCACCCCAGGCTCCTGACAATTCTCTCCCTTCTTTAAATATGCTTCACTTAAACAAAATCCTTTAACTCTGTAAGCTACCTTGAAACCTGTTGAGGCTGATTTTGCTCTTTCTAGGTGTGTTTCCCTGTGAGCAATGCACTTCTCCGTCACCTTTGCATGTATAAATCCTAGCCATCTTTTAATATCTAGTGAAGCTGGGGCATCACTCAATTTTCTTCCCAACCTGAGTGGAGATCATCATCTCTCTCCTGTGTGCACCCACAGCCCTCATCGCTTCATCTGGATACTTCTGCCTGGAATCGGAGCCGCTCCTGTCTTGTGGCACCCCATCCGCTAGCTAAAGCTCCTGGAGAGCAGGAGTTGCCAACAACTCCTAAAACCCAGCACGTGGGAGACACTCAGTAAGCACTGAACAGCTTCCTATCCACTCGTGGTCTAATTCCTCCAGAGCAAGAACAAAACTCTCCTCAAGTCAGCCCCCACAGAGAGAGTTCCCTGAAATCTAATCTCTCTCCTGCCAGAGCCCAGCGCTGTCTTGGAAACACTGCATACCTACAGCAAAGAGCAGCAGAATCGGATTTAATAGACTTGAACCTAGTCTCTGCCTGAGACTTCAGAAGTCAGTCAGGCTGTAGGGCACAGAAGTGCTCGCTGCCCGAGGTCGGCCTTTCTGAACCGAGAGTCAAGTAACAAGCAACAGTAACTGGCCAGGGTGGCGGTAAGGCGGCGGCCCCTCCAAAATCCCGTCCCACCCTCGCGACGGTCCTGGGCGAAGGCATTCCACGCTCTCCGGACAGAAACCCGAGCCGGATGAGGGGACACGGGCTGAGCTGAGGGCTCCTGCTCGGTGGGTGACAGAGGAAGGCCTCGAACCCAGGTCACCGCTTCCAGTTCAGGGGATCTGGGCGGAAAGAGGGAGGGTGGAGAGGGGTCCTGCTCGCTCCGCCTCAGTCCCTCCTGCCGCCGGTTTGGACCTCCCGACCCTGGGTCACCAGACTTGGACCGGGTCTGGGGGTCGCCAGCACCCCGCCCCCTGCTCCGCGCCATCTTGGAGCGCTGAGGCGACCGCTCTGGACCTCCCCGAACCGCTGCTCCAGCAGTTACTCACCCGCACTGCCCGGGGCCAGGCCCCCTGCCACCTCCGCGACCCCAGCCACCGTCAGGAGAAGCAGCAGCGCGCCTCGCGGGGAGGCCCGGACGGTCGCCATGTCCAGGCCTGGGGCTCCAGGGCCGCTAGATGCTCGGACCCAGCCTGCCCGCCGCGGCAACTCGCGGAGACCCCGCCCTGGTGGCCCGGACCCCCGGTGATTGGCCGCGGAGAGAAACCCCGCCCCTCAGCCGCAAGGATTTTCCAAAACCTGCTGGGGGCGGGAACCTGCCCGAGACCCCGCTCTTTGTTAAGGCCCAGCGAGCTATCTGTCCGCTTCTGCGGCGGAATCTGGCAGCCGGTGTTCTCCAAGAGGCGAGGCAGAGGATGTCAGGGTTGCCAGGGTCCTAAGAACGCCTCGACCTCCCGAGGTTTGCAGATGCGGTCACTGAGGCTCAGCGAAGAGACCATCAGCCCAAGGTCACACCGCAAGTTCTCCTGAGAACTGGGGCACAGGCCAAGGCTGAACCAAAGGGACTTGTCCCTTTCACGTACTTCAGTGATCTTAATATCCTTTCTGCCGGACGCTGCCTCACACCCCAAGAGGGCGTGTCATCCGGGACAACTCCCCCTCCCCTGAAATCGGAGGGGCTCTGCCTCTGACAATCTCCTGACAAGAGCCCAGGCAGGAATTCGCCACCAAATCTCTTCGGCACGTGTAGCCTCACTGTGTCTTTGATGTTCTAAGGACACCTGATGTTCCCATCAGGAGAATGTGGAGAGGGGAATGCTTGTGTATCTAAACATGGAGAGCCTTGAAGGCCAGGCTGGGTTTAGACTTTAAGAGACAATTTGGAGGTGGGTCCGCTTATTATCAAAGCGTTCTCCAACCTCCACCCCGTTCCTATGTCTCTCCTCTTCCCCTCTTTTCCTTTTGTCAATTATGTAATACCTTTTTTCCTTTCCTCTTCCTTAAAAACAAACAAACAAACATAACCACAGTTACATTTTAAAATATGGAATATCATTAAATATCCAGTATTTACATTTTCCTTATTGTCTCATAATTTCCTTTTACAGTTTTCAAGTTCCAACCAAAGTCCACATATAGAAGTTCGTTTGTATGTCCTTTAGGTCTCTATCTATTGTCTCCTTTAGGAAAATGTGAATAAGTTACAATAATCTTTCTAAAACGTTTGTTCTGGCAACAACCCTCTTGCTTCTCTGAGAAACCACCTCTTTACTTACAGGATGGAAAGATGTACACTTATTCAACATGGTATCAGAGGCTTTCAGCATTTAGACCCAATCACCTTTACCAGTGTCATCTCACCTTACATCCCACTTCTCCCTAGGAGAGAAGAGTCAAAAAACCTAGAGTTGCGCTGATATGGTAGCCACAAGCCACAGGTGGCTGTTGAGTACATGAAACGTAGCAATTCCAAACTGCAATATGCTGGAACCAGATTTAGAAGACTTAGTATGAGAACAAGAACCTTGCTTATTTAACTTATATGCAGAGTACATCATGCAAAATGCCTGACTCTACAAAGCACAAGCTGGAATCAAGATTGCATGGAGAAATATCAATAACCTCAGATATGCACATGACTTCACCCTTATGGCAGAAAACAAAGAGGAACTAAAGAGCCTCTTGATGAAAGTGAAAAAGGAGAGTGAAAAGCTGACTTAAAACTCAACATTCAAAAAACAAAGATCATGGCATCTGATCCCATCAATTCATGGCAAATAGATGGGGAAACAATGGAAACAGTGACAGATTATTTTCTTGGGTTCCAAAATCACTGCAGATGGTGACTGCAGCTGTGAAATTAAAAGATGCTTGCTCCTTGGAAGAAAAGCTATGGCAAACCTAGCATATTAAAAAGCAGAGATATTACTTTACTGACAAAGGTCCATCTAGTCAAAGCTATGGTTTTTCCAGTAGTCATGTATAGATATGAGAGTTGGACCATAAAGAAAACTGAGCGCCGAAGAATTGATGCTTTTGTGCTGTGGTGTTGAAGAAGACTCTTGAGAGTCCCTTGGACTGCAAGGAGATCCAACCAGTCCATCCTAAAGGAAATCAGTCTTGAATATTCATTGGAAGGACTGATGCTGATGCTGAAACTCCAACACTTTGGCCACCTGATGGAAAGAACTGACTCACTGGAAAAGACCCTGATGCTGGAAAAGATTGAAGGCAGGAGGAGAAAGGGATGACAGAGGATGAGATGGTTGGATGGCATCACCGACTCGATGGACGTGAGTTTGAGCAAGCTCTGGGAGTTGGTGATGGACAGCCTGGTGTGCTGCATTCCATGGTGTCGCAAAGAGTCAGACACGACTGAGTGACTGAACTGAAAATGTTATTAAAACTAATTTCACCTTTTTAAAAAAACTTGTTTTTGTTTTAAAATGACTTTATTTTTTAGAGTGGTTTTAGGCTCATAGAAAAACTAAGCAGAAGTTACGGAGATTTCCCATATACCCCCTGCTTCAACATACAATATACTTACAGACCCCTCCACTGTCAACATCCCGCACCACATTGGTGCGTTTGTTACAACTGATGAAGCTGCACTGACACATCATTATCACACAAAGTCCCCAGTTTACCTTAGAGTTCATTCTTGGCTTTACACATTCTGTGGATTTTGACAAATATATAATGACATGTAGCCACCATTATTCTTTTTACTTTTTTTAATGTGACTATTAGAAAACTTAAAATTATGTTTATGGTTCACTTTGGGGTTCATATAGTTCTATTGTACAGTGCTGGTGTAATTACTTTTCATTCTAAACAAAGGTTAATGCTCAGAGATCATCTTTAAAGTGGCACTTAAAAAAAATGTTACTCATCAATGATTTTGTCCTGAGCTGAAAACATCTTTCTATATTTCAGATAAATAAAACCCATCAAATCTTTTGATTCATCTTTATGCACTATAATTTCCCCATCATTTTACTTTTGTTTCTTTATAAAGTATTTCAAGTAATCTTCCTGCAGAAATCAAATAGGTGGTTGCTTTTTAAAAAATTTTAATATGATAATATTTGCCTTTTAATGCGAGTGTTTGGATTTAATGTAATTATTGATATATGGTTGAGTTTAAATCTATCTTGCAATTTGTTTTCTATTTACTCCAGTTCTTTTTTCCTTTTTCCTACTTTTCCTACCGTCTCTCAGAATAATAAAGTGTTTGGAGTGCTGTTTTTATTATTTCATTATATCTCTTCTATTGGCTTATCAGCTCTACTTCTTTGTTTTACTTTTCAGTAGGTGCGCTAGAGTTTATCGTATACAGTTTAACTTATTACAGTTCACCTTCAAATAATAATCATCACTTCATGTCAAATGTAAGACGTGACGCCAGTATACTTCCATTTTCTCCTCCCATCTTTTGTGCTAATGTTATCATACACTTTGCTTCCACGCACTGTTATTATTTTGCTTTAAATAGTCAATTATTCAAGAGATTATAAAATGAGAAACTGTGTTTTATATTTACCCATATGTCAAGCATTTCTGATGTGCTTCATTCCTTTATGTAACTCCAGATTTCTCTTTGGTATCTAGAGGAAGAGAAATATTTTGATTAAGAACATGGCAGGTTTTGCTGATTTTAATTAACTAGGACCCCATACATTGGTTTTGGGCGTTTATGCATACTATTAATACATTCCTGGAGTTAATTTTTAATGGAAATGATTTTTCTCACTTTACTTAGCTTAAACACATTTTCTTGTCAATCAGAGACAGTCCCTCCACTCCCATCAGTCCCCAGCAACGTGACTCACTGGGATGGGGAAGGAGGCAGGCCCCTGGAAAAGGGAGGCTGTAGTGGGCTGGGACACGGAACCAAAGAAGGGCTTGAAAATATGAGATAAGAGGGGATCTGAGCCTTGTCTCCCGTGGAGCTCAGAGAAGGGACACATCTCATAAAGTTCCCCTGCACTTAGCATGATGGGCATGTCGAGGAGATATGGCTGCAAACGTGTCCTCTCCCCGCCCCCACCGAGAATGCCACAGAAGAGGAGCTTAGGATTTTCTGTCCCTGCTGGCTCAGGTGGTGAAAAATCTGCCCAGCAAGGCAGGAGACTCGCGTTCGATCCCTGGGCCAGGAAGACCCCCTGGAGAAGAGAACGGCAACCCACTCCAGTATCCTTGCCTGGAGAATTCCATGGTCAGAGGAGCCTGGTGGGCTACAGTCCACAGGGTTGCAAAGAGCTGGACACGTCTGAGTGACTAACCCAGGAGCTGAGAGAGCTGAGAGCCCAAAGAAGCCTCAAGATCAGAACAAGGAGGCTGTAACTGGTGTCTGCATGGTCTGTACAACTGGATGCCAGATGAGAATGCAGGTATCAGGGGGGATTGATTATGACAACTGAGGACCAGATGTCCTGCCTTCCTCCCAAGTCCCAGCTGGTGGGTTTGACTCTATATTTGGGGAGAGGCCTTGACTCAGCTGAGATCCTACTGAGTGACTAAGATTAAGTTTCAGTCGTTCGGCAGGAAGGGGACTTGCAGAGACAAGTAGCTGTCCATCAGAGATTCGTGCAGCCCTGCTAGAAACTGTCACTTAGAAGCAACTGCCCGGCCAGAGCAAACATTTTCTGAGTGCTATCACGTTCTCTGTTCGTTTACTGACTGTGACTATAACCTTGGAGAACAAAGGATCCCATGCCTTGGAGCAGAATCGGTGTATTTGACAGTCGCATTGCCCCTATATTGAGATCTCACAGGACAGAGAGAAGCCCTAACGCCAAGTCATTCAATAAGAACACATTATAAATCTTAACATTGTGACCTCAGCCTGTGATGCTGGTACAATATCTTGCCAACGTCCAGTAAGCCCTCTAAACATATGAGCCTGTGAGTATGAAATTGTCCCCATTCTCTACTTTCCTTGCCTGCTTACTTCAGCAATTTTCAAACTTAAAAAATATTATTTTTATTTTTTAGCAATGGAACCCTTTTCCCAACAAAATCTTACAGAGTCCTACCATATAAAATAGAATTTAAAAAGCTGCATTTCAGTGCTACATTTATTTTCTCAGTTCAAACATATAATTAATAATAATTAATTGGTTCAAAGACAATAAATGAGAATTCAG